AATTCTAGGTCACTGCTTTAGGGAGATCAAAAACTGAGGCTTATTCTATAAAGGTGCACAATATCACCTCAAGCCCTATTAGACTGAGATTCAATTCCTGCCAGTTTACATTTTGCTCCTGTAAGCTTCTTTGATGCATATGACAATCCACCAGGAAATGACTGCCTTGGAACGTAGAAATCCCGTCTTTGAAGCGCAAAGTGAAATAAATCAGCTGTCAAACATCTTGAACTTTCTGGTTCTTCCTAAATAGTTTTAAATGCCTGTTTAACATCCAAATAAAATACCCTTTTCTCAACACATTTAGGATCCAGACTAAGACCAGTCAGGACCTTCTTTTAATCACTTGAGGCTAAAGTAATTCAAAGTTGTTGGTTTAGGGTTTTTTTCAGTTAAATATTGACTGACTTTGAGGTTACACAACTTTGAAAGGTACTGTAAATTTTAAATACACACTGTACATATCATACACACCCACAAGCTAGACTTATCAACCATAAAAACATTGCCAAATACAGTATGGGGGAGAGAGGACAGTGAGACAGACAAAAAAACAAAAAGATATTACAAAATAGGCCACAATTATTAATGAGGATAACCACAGATCATCGCAAGAGAGTGTAAAATACAGAAAAGAGAAAAATGTTTGGTGGCCCTGATAACCAAAATTATTTTCTGCTTTGTGAATATATCAAAATGTATAAAGGCATATAAAATTCAGATGTGAACAGCCACAATACCTCTTGGGATGAAACTGCCTATGTCTCATACTCATATGAGTCATAAGTCATATGTCATAAGTATGGCTCTAATTCAACCTTATATTGCCCTGCAATTTCTGTAAGTTTATTCCATTGGCATACTGTAAATCTGTAAGGGATGGTCATTTATCCACTATGTAAAAATAAATTAACTACTTACTGAAAGTGTTAATCTCAAAAACATTTTTTTTATGTAGATAATTTTCAGGCTTAAGTCTACCAGTAAATTTTGCAGATCACACTGTTTAAGAAAGATTTCAAAATGCCACATCTATCTCACTGACAAATAGCGACCCATTAAATAAAGGCACTAGACTGAAGTGGTTTGAATTGCCTTCCTAACTTTCAGCCCCATCAGGACTCAAAATATTAATATTTGGCTATCCATCTGCCACCAGAGGGTGTAGACAGACTCTAAATGTTCAGTTCAGACACAACTCTGAACCAATGGAGGAGCTAATAAAGGGATGGGAGTGTGTGGGGGGGGAGGTGTCGACAGCTCCCAAGGCAACTTTTAGGTGAACATGTGACATCTTTTCTCATGGGGCTTGGTAGCGGTGGCTCCCTGCTGTGGTAGTTGCAACATGGCACACGGGTTCATGTGGTGCTGTGACCCTGTACGCTATGTCACAATGACTCTCACTTACATTTGACTCGACTGCCCATCAGTCATGATGGTCAGCAGCCAGGCCAAACCTGAATGGCACTGCAATCCCATGTGCCAATTCACAATGCTCGGAGTGGGGAGATAGTCCCATTCCCACAGGACAGGAGCCACTGCTACTAGGTGAGTGTGGGGCAGCTCACTCTCCAGCCTCCCACCCTCTTCAGGGTCTCCCTTCCACACCAGACTGAGATTAGATGGTGTGGGAGAGGATGATGCTGTGTGAGTGGTCAGTGCCCTGATTGCAAAACCTGGGTCTGCCATTGCTCTGAACACCGCCTCTAAGATGAGGTACCTGAACATTTCACACATTCACTCTGGGTCCTTTCCCAAGCCTATTAGATCACTATGAAGAGCTGAACCAATCTGAGATTCTGAAGATAAGGGTTATATAAGGACATGGAAAGATGGTACACTGGGCCTTGATTATGCACAATTAATGTTAACTGGGTTTTTTCCATTGATTTGAATTGGAGCAGAATAAAGCTTTTGCTGATGAAATTCTCAGAGCTTACTGAAATAGACTGGCAGTTTGGTGTGATCTGTACAGGGAAGTCAGTCCACTTGCAGTTATGACCACTCTGGCACATAAGTAGAACACTTTCCTACCGAACTACAGAGGAAAATACGGCTTGCCAGACCACATGTAAATCTAAGTCCAGTGTTCTACCGCTCACAGTTACCAGTAACAGATGCTTCAGAGGAATATGAAAGAAAACTTCAAGGACAATTATAATTAACTTCCCATAGGGGAAGTTTCTTTCTAAGCCCTAGTGGATGTCTTATGTCTGAATCAGGATTTTGTTTTACATATACTTTACACAGAATGTTATATTATAACTGTGACGTTGTGCAGTCTACATGGTTTTATAAAAATATAATAATAAGTCAATATAATGTAACTGGGATAGATTTAGAGAAAATACGGTAATAAGTGATATAATGTAACTGGGATATGCTTCATGCAAAAGGTCTCTTGTAAGGTATCATTACAAAGCTTATAATCTACTGAGTATGATAATCTGATTTGTATAAATGTACCACTCTTGTATCTAAAACTAGAAATATAAAACATAACTCTGAGGGCCTATTGTAATTATGTAGAGTGTGGGCCATTAAGGATGGTTTGGAATCTTGATGACTCCCATTGTCTGCAGATGGCTGTATTTACCTTTGAGTCTTCCTGTATATGTGTGTGCTGGCAAGTGAGTAATGAAGTCTTGCAGTGACATGTGATCATGTCACCTGAACTGGAATCCATCTTTAACCTGGTGCTTTTCCAGTGAGCGGGGGTGGAAACCCAGAGGGACAAAGGATTCCCGCCTTATGCAAAAGATATATAAAGGGGTGGAAGAGAACAGAGAAGAGGAGGAGCCATCATGGAGAAACCCCTAGCTAACACCTAAGCTGGAACAAGAGCTGTACCAGGGGAAAGAATTGTGCCCAGGCCTGGAAGGTGTCCAGTCTGAGAAAAACTTACTGAAGCATCTCTGAGGGTGAGATTATCTGTATTTAGTTTGATTAGGCATAGATTTGCGCATTTTATTTTATTTTGCTTGTGACTTACTTTGTTCTGTCTGTTACTACTTGGAACCACTTAAATCCTACTGTCTGTATTTAATAAAATCACTTTTTATTTAGTAATTTACTCAGAGTATGTATTAATACCTGGGGGAGCAAACAGCTGTGCATATCTCTCTATCAGTGTTATAGAGGGCGAACAATTTATGAGTTTGCCCTGCATAAGCTTTATGCAGGGTAAAACGGATTTATCTGGGTTTAGACCCCATTGGGAGTTGGGCATCTGAGTGCTAAAGACAAGCACACTCCTGTGAGCTGTTTTTGGGTAAACTTGCAGTTTTGGGACAAGTGATTCAGACCCTGGGTCTGTGTTGAAGTGGACTGGAGTGGCTAATTCAGCAAGACGGGGTGCTGGAGTCCTGAGCTGGCAGGGAAAACAGAAGCAGGGGTAGTCTTGGCACATCGGGTGGCAGCTCCCAAGGGGGTTTCTGTGATCCAACCCGTCACAATAACTATCTGTATAAATGTCTAATCCATGTTTGAAGCCTCTATCCTCAACAAATATCTTGCAGCAATGAGCTCCACTGATTAATGATGTGCTATGCCACAAAAAAGTATTTCCTTATTATTTCATGTCATCTGCAAGTTTTCTATCTAATTTTTCACTCCTTCACCAAATCATTAATACATATTAGTACAGAACATTCGGGAACTACTCCTGATCTTTTCCCATGCTATAAATTGACCATCGTCCCCCTTCTTTGTTTTCTGTCTCTTAGCCAGTTTCTAGTCTATGACAGCTCTTTCTCAGCACTCTGAGTACTTAATAGTCTATTATGAGGGACTTTGTCAAAGGCATTCTGAAAGTCCAAGTAGATGCCAGCTGGTTCTTCACTATATATAGCTTTACTGACACACAAACCTGCGCCCATCTGAGCGAATTATTATTTACGTTATTGTGCGGCTACCTGAATCACCATTATTTCAACTGGGTTCTTTTTTGACAACTCCATTAGCATATGAGCTTTCATTCCTAAGCAGGGCTACCACTTTGATGTGGCACATTTTAGTGCTTGTGTAATGATATTTATTTTCATTTGAGCAAGGAACTGCACCTTGAAAAGAGAAAACTAAGCCATGGTTTCTGATCTTGGGAGGAGACTCCCTATTCTCCATGTCTAGAAAATTATTGATCCCTTACCATTATTTAAGTGTGTCCATCCTAAACCCTATTAGGAAGGAGCTTATAAAACTGTATGAATCACCTCTTTTGGGCTGAAATTTTTCAAGCCTGATGTCTGCCTGAAGCAATTTTTTATTTATTTTGTTTTAGTTTGAGAAAAAATCAATTCAGTGTTTATTTTTTCATCTTTGCATGTAAGGAAAAAAAAACCTCACTGCACATTTTTCCCATTTAAAAAAAAAAAAGATTTTGCCCTTTATTTGAAAAGGTCTAGGGACAAAATGGTCGCAGCAAGAAAACTGAAAATGGACAGGAAGCTTGTTCCTAGGGAATAGGGATGCCTTTCAATGGCCCAGTTAAAACTGGTTTTCATTTAGAAGAATTAGCAGGGTTTGAAACAAATCATACTTGACTCAATGGCATTCTAAAGGGGCTGGGCTACATTTTGCATACGCACACAGCACATTTTGATGTATAAAGATAAATGAAGTGTTACAACAGCTTTCCAGGGTTTTTCCTCCTACATACACAACTAAGCTCTGGTCTGCATATAAAATTTAGATCGATGTAGCTATGTCACTCAGGGGTGTGAAAAATTCAAACCCCCAAGCTGCACTGTACTTAAGCTGACCTAACCCCTGCTGCAGACATGGCTAGATCAGTGTCAGCCTAGTTACTGCTGCTAGGAGAGATGTATTAGCTACAGTAATGGAAAAACCCCTGTACCACTGTAGAATCTGTAGCATAGACATATCCTAACTGCATGAACTCTGAAAGAGTGTGTTGTTTACACCTTTATTGTTATAATCAAATCTTTTACATTTTGTAAACATGGGAATATTATTGGGCTGGAAGTACAGAACACACTTACCAATGTTAATTTCATCATCTGTTTCAGCATCTCCAATACACTCAAACTGAAAATCCTGTAGCGACTGGGAAAATTTTTGCACTGCCATGGATAGATCTATGATAAAGAAAAAGGAAACAAGTCTTACAATTATTCCAATAACTATACCACAGTATATGCAAGTTTTTCTAGAAAAATAATCTCACATAAAATAAGAGAATACCATTCAAATCAAACTGCTTGCTATGCCTCAAAAAGTCACTGAAGCAAACTAAATTCCTAAATCTCAGCCATAACAAAGAGAATCGTATTCATACGGACGAATAATCCTCAGTTCTCGTTTTCTTGAAGCAAGAGAAATTGATACATGATCTGAAGCTTCAGTGGTAATAAGTAGTCCTAGTGCAGGGGTGGCCAACCTGTGGCTCTGGAGCCGCATGCGGCTCTTCAGAGGTTAATATGCGGCTCCTTGCATAGGCGCTGGCTCCGAGGCTGGAGCTACAGATGCTAACTTTCCAATGTGCTGTGGGGTGCTCACTGCTCAACCCCCTGCTCTGCCCCTGGTCCTGCCACCACTCCACCCCTTCCCCCAAGGCCCCTGCCC